ACTCTTCTGGGTCCTTTGAGTTTCCTCATGAATTTTTAGATCAGTTCATCAATTTCTGCAAAAAAACAGCAGCTGGTATTCTGAGAAGGATTGCATTGATTCTGTAAATCAGTTTGGGAAGTATTGCCATCTTAACAATCTTAAGTTTTCCCATCCATGAACATGTGATTTTTTCCATTTATCCAATCATTTTTAATGTACCCATAGAGGAATGGCATGATGCAAATATATCACTGGGAAAATAGAAATAATATCCCTTGGTTATGGGATTAGAGATAATTTTGATTTTATTTTTGTATATTTCCATGTTTTTCCAAATTTTCAACAACAAGAGTATCTTTTACATAACCCAAAAGAAGTTATTTTTAAAGAAAAAATATCTTTAATAAAATATACACATATCCTCAAAGACCTGAAGACAGAAATACCATTCAACCCAGCAGTCCCATTTCTATATATATACTCAAAAGAACATAAATCGTTGTATTATAAAGACGCAGCTGTATGTTCACTGCAGCACTGTTCACAATAGTAAAGACATGGACTCAACCTAAATGCCCATCGATGATAGACAAGACAAAGAAAGTGCGGTACATATACACCATGTAATACTACACAGTCATAAAAAAGAACTAGATCACATCCTTTGCAGGGACATGGATGGGGCTGGAGGCCATTACCCTTAGCAAATTAACACAGGAACAGAAAACCAAAGATCACATGATTTCACATATAAGGGGGAGCTAAATGGTGAGAACACATGGACACATAGAGTGGAACAACATGCACTGGGGCCTATCAGAGGGTGGAAATTGGGAGGAGGGGGAGGATCAGGAAAAATAACTAATGGGTACTAGGCTTGGTACCCATAACTAGTGGGCACTAGGCTTATTACCCGTAACTAATGGGTACTAGGCATGGGTGATGAAATAATCTGTACAACAAACCCCCACGACACAAGTTTACCTATGTAACAAACCTGCACATGTACTCCTGAATTTAAAATAAAAGTTAAAAATATACATATTTAAAATATTACATAGACATGAAAAATAGAAAACGCTTGAAACATTTTCCAATATACATGAACATACCACTGTTTATTCTTGGTCACATTTTCATCAGAATTTGCTGATTGTGTGCTATATGGTAGATACTGTGCTAAGTATTGAGTATACTGTTTTTAAGAAAACAGGTATGATTTCTGCCCTCGGGAAGCCTACATTTAGTGAGAGAATGACAATAAACAGGCAAAGTAGCAAACAGAAAAGGAATTATAAGTTGTAAAGGGCATTTTGAAAGAAAGCAATCAGTACTATGATGGACAATAATGGCAGAATAAAGCAAACCTATTTTGATATAGTGGTCAGGGAAGCTCTCTCTAAGGCATCAACGTTTGAGCTGAGACTTGGGAACCCAAAAATGTTAAGGGCTGGCTTTCAATATTTGTCAAAGATATGTTCAATATAAGCAGTTTCTTATATTGAACGGTAAAAACAAAAAGCTTTAAAATTCCAAGGGGAAAATAATTTCAACAAATAGAGCAACCTCCACCACCTTCTATAATATGATATACAGGGTCCAAAAAATCCAGTACCATAAAATATGTGAAAAGTCATTGTAAGGTTAATGAAATGCACTGAAAGTGTTTACAGTAGTCTCACTGTGCTGCCCAAATCCAGCAGGGTCCCAGCCACAGTTTGGTGCCACTTGATCATAGCTTTCTGCTCCACCTTAACTATTGATGGGGATGATTCTGGGTCCCTTTTACAGGCTAAAGTTCCTTGGCAGAAGCAGCAATTCCAAGAATCTAGGTAGTTGATGCCTTTTTTGTCAGCCTGATGGGAAGACTGGGCCAAGAGAATACCGAAAGCACAAAGTATCACCCCTTACCTCCCTGACATTTCCCCTCATGGCCCAGTTTCTCTTCCACTTATCCTTCCCCCAAACTTAAGATTTCTAGCCTACTCCTGTTTAGAATGAGGGTTAGGCAGAGGACCAGAGCAAATACAGTTGAATGTGGATTATTAGGGGAGGGGGGCTTATCATAGGTATTAACTGCTACCTGCCCACCCAATATCTATTTCCTGCTCTTAGTAACAGAACCCAGATTTTGTTTAGGAGGTAATGTGCCTAGTTGAATTATATGCTTCCTCAGACTCTACTGAAGTAGACATGGTTAAGTGATGTAGTTTGACCAATAAGATGTCAATTAAGGGATTTGGGAAAGTTCTGCTTTAATGATACAGGAACCACTTATTTCCACGTTCTTTTACATCTTCTTCCCTAGAATTTGGGGATGAGGAGGGAGACAGGGCAATCATCTTTGGACTATGAGATAACCATGAAGATGAATGCTTTATGTGAAAAACGGTGTTGGAGAAAGGTAGAACATAGCTGGGGACTGACACCACTGCAGAGCTGCTGCCCCAACCTAGATAGCCTACCTCCAGATTTCTACGAGGTGACAAAGCCAACCCTTATTTGACTGTAGTTAGGTTACTGTGATGACATATAGTCATCTGAAATCCTAACAGGTACAGCTGTCTACCATGAACATAAATTTATCGTCTTTGGATGAATCCAAAGTTTTTAAGGTTTTAATGTAAAAAGTCCAACTCTCATGTCTGATAAAACAGGAAATGCACAACCCTCCAAACCATATCACCCACTACAGAGTGGTAAGTATAGGTCATTAAATGAAAGCAGCACAGAAAAGTGGCTTCAGAGAGGGAGTCATTTCATGCCCCTTACCTTCATTAGCCCCATTCCCCAAGTCATACCACATAAACATAAATTCCAGGTAAAACTGTGCTTACTATGTAAACACACTTCCAGACAAGTTCCTTATTGCTCTACATTGCCATCCCTAAACTTCTCCTACGTGGCAATTCTGCCACAGCATAATTCCCAGGGCACCTCCACCCACAGTTAAAGTTATGATTTAGGGTTCATTGCTACACATACCTTGAAATTTTTAAGCAGACACATTAAAGTAATGCGGCTCAAGGAATGTTAAGAACTTTTTCCACTTTTGCCCCAGCCAGTTTCTACTCCAGTCCAAAACGGCTTCTTTATCACCACTCGCTTTACTCAGATTACGCTTACAGAATTCATCATCCTCCAGGGTAGAATCACCAAAAATAATGTGAGCATTTATACAGAAAGTGTAGTTCAGATAAAACAATATATTAATAGGCCAAATTAGAAAAGAATAGCACGCTGCTAGTTTTCTATATGCATTCTTGCCCGTGTGAAATTAAACTTTTTTGCATCCATGCCGGGAGCGGTGGCTCAGGCCTGTAATCTCAGCACTTCGGGAGGCCAAGGCAGGCAGATCACTTGAGGTCGTAAGTTCCTGGCCAAATGGTGAAGCCCCTTCTCTACTAAAAATACAAAAAGTAGCCAGGAATGGTGGTGGGCACCTGTAATCCCAGCTACTTGGGAGGCTGAGGCAGGAGAATCTCTTGAACCAGGAGGCGGAGGTTGCAGTGAGCCAAGACCACTTCACTGCACTCCAGCCTGGGTGATAAAGGGAGATTCTGTCTTTAAAAAAAAAAAAAAAAAGCATCCAAAGTTGAATGGAGTTTGCTTTTATTATTGCCAATGAGATAATAACCTTTCAAGTAGGAAAACAACAAAAAGGAAAACTATGTAATGAAATTTTTTTTAAATCCCAGAACCAAAATAAGTAAAGATTTCCAGATAGAAATTTGCGTGGAGTCAATCAGAGTTACATATTATTTTCATTTCCGAACAGAATTACTCCATCAAGTTTTCTGATATCTCTCTAATGTTTCTCAGTAAAACATTAGGAAAGTAATAAAAATTCACCTAAGAATGATCAAAATTGCATTGAGTCCCAAATAATTTTTTTTGTTTGTAATTGCAAATTCTTACATGTTAAATTACCTGTTTCGGAGAGCTTTCTAAATTTTAAGGGAAAAATTCCGTACTCTTTCTTTTTAAGGTAGGCAGGGACAATCAGGAAGCAGCCTGGATTTTCAGAAACAATCTTTAGCATCACAAAGACAAAGACTAAAGAAACATGTAATGCACAACTTAGGCTGCTCCTTCATCCGAGGCAATTCAAATTTCCACGGATACCAAGTCTTCAGTGTCCGGTGTCAACCTTTCAATAGAAGCATACCAGAAACTGTTGCGATTGCCTTCTTCACCACGAGAGTTTAAACAACACAAATCTGGGCAGAAGTAATTATCTGGCCAAGCCGGGAGGCACGAAGCTTAAATACCGCCCCTGTAGGAGGTGTAGGGGATCCGAAGCAAACACCCCAAAGTTTGTTTGTGGGTGGAGGCGCGGAGGCGCCCGGAGCCACCCCCGAGGCTCACCTGGTCAGCGCACAGAGCCGGGTAGGAGTTGGGTCTAGCCGGAGTTTGCTCCCGAGCGCTTCGTTCCCCTCAGGCTAGTGCGTTTAAATCAGTACTGGGTGGCAAACGACGCCCATTCTTTGGGCTCTGAAGTTTGGAATTCATGGGTTCTGCGGCATAAGAAAGTTCTTCGCAGGTTATTTCCATGTTCGAGGCTGTCGCTTAGCGCATCTCCTCCCGGTGCGGCCCCAGGCTATCCACCGAGCCGCCTACGAGATCGCTGCCCTGTGCCGCAGCATCTTGATGCCCAGGACCCCGAGGCTGTGGGGCAGCCCCTCCTCCTTGGGATAAGCGGCCAGAACTCCTTTCACCACTGGGAAGAACACTCCCAGCCCCGGGAAGAGCGCGCATCCTAAGGAGATATCTCCTAACGCCTAGACAAAGACAGCGCTGGGAAAAGTTAGACCAACTGGCACCCCCGCAAGGCGAACAGAGCAGCCCCTTGGCCTTGGTGGCCGAGCCGGCTACGCGCTCTCGGAGTCGCGGCCAACTTTTCCCGCGAGCTTCTGAGCAACTTGCCGCAAGTTGGGGCGAAGGGGCAGATCAGGGGTCAAGGGCGCGCGGACAGGATGATCTCGCCCCAGTCGTTTTCCTCGTACCTCCCCGCGTACCTGCTGATGTATCCGTCCCCGTCGCCGTCGCATGTCTGAAAGAGGCGCCGCATCCTCTCCTCCTCGCCGGTACTGGACGTGTCGCTGCTGCTGCCACCGCCGCCGCCGCCGCTGCTGGCGCTCCCCGCAGCCGCTGCCGCCGCGGCCGCCATCATGCGCCCGCTCCCTGCTTGGGAGGAGGAGAACGCGCGGCCGCAGCAGGAATCCGCCGGGCGCGCAAGCTGCCTGCAGCCCCGAACCTGCCTGACAACGGAGCATGCCCAGTGGCCGCCGGGGCGCTCCGGGCGAGGGATTCCACCTCTCCGGGTTTTGCCCGGGTTGGGAAGATGGGCGCTCTGGAATCGCACAAGTAGGCACCTCAGGGAAGAGGGAGGAGGGGAAGGTGGCTAGAGGAGTCAGAGAGCCAAGGGTGGCAACGGGAACACGAGAGGAGGCAGAATACACTGGAGCCCCCCGGGAAGGGTGTCAGCATTGTGCATCCGGCCACGACGCGGGCCCCGGACACTTGGGGACGCTTCAGACAGAGGGCGGGTGTTCTCCCGGCAGAACTCCGACCGCCTGGAGTCGTGGATTCCTTTTCCAGAAAAAACATAAACACACCGTTTCTGCAAACTCAAAATGGTGCTTGTCATCCCACCCTCCAGGATTGTTCCGGGTTCTGTACCCATAACCCCCAATGAGAAACGGAATGACTGGACTTTTTATGAAATCTTGACACCTGTCAAGAAACCTGGCCCTCACAGCCCTGATCTTGGCTTCCACTCTGTACTGGGAACAGTCTGCACTCATATGTGACATTGTGCACGTTGGGTCCATTTCCGGAAACGGCTCACTCTACTGGGCAGGCATCACTAGAGTTTCCCCCAACAGCTTTAATAATGCCAAGAGCGAACATAATAGATGGTCTCATTTGATCCACACTACAGACCTGGAAGATGCCTCTTTGATTATAACTCCTACGACTTAGGAAGTATTAATAGATAAGTACCTCATAGGGTTACCTTGCGTATAAAAGGAGAGCAGACACAATGCAGTTAGGACAATGTCTGACACTAAGTGCTCAACAAATGTTAGCTCTCATTGTTCCCAATTTACAGGTAAGAAAACCGAGGTACCAAGAACTGCTCAAGGTTCCAGGTTTAGTAAGTGTCAGGACAGAGGCAAGCCCAGGCAGCCTAACTCCAGAGCAGGAGCCTTTAAAAACTGCACTATTCCCCCATAGCCAAAGGGGAACCACAGTGAAGCAATTTGTGGTTTGGTGAATGACTCATTATTCTGTCCTAGATTTTCTGCCAGAGAGGCCTGTGAAGTTCTCTGGTGGTTTTAAAATATGTCCACAGATTCTTTGGTGCATCCCTCATCAAGAGGTGGAGTCTGTTGCTTCCCCTAAACCTGGATTGGACTTGTGACTGCCTTGACTTCTGAGACTAGGTTAGAAAAGGCAATGCAGATTCCACTTGGCTCTCTCCCTTGGGACACTTACCTTTGAAGCCCTGAGCTGCCTGAAAAGAAGTTTGGCTTCCCCAAAGCTGCAGAAACCATGCAGAAAGACCATGTAAAGAAAAAAAGAGATGACCAAAGAGCTACAGCTGTTCTAGCCCTTGGATCTTTGAATCTTCCCAGACTAGGTGCCAGACATGAGTGAAAAATGATGCTAGCTCTAGATGCTGCAAGTGCATTAGAGACCCTGAGCAAAACTGGCTAACCAACCCCCAGAACTGTGAAGATAATAATTAAAAATTGTTGTTTTAAGCCATTAAGTTTTGAGGTGATTTCTTATACAGTAATATATAACTGGAACAAGTCCATATGTCTTGGGAATGTCTGCCAGGTCAGAAGGAAGGAATCTCTGCTCTCTTTCTCCTCCTCTCCACCCCATCTACCTATTCCTACTTTACTTCTTTATAATTCTCTAAGTTCCCAGTATTTCAGGGCACTGAAATCGTAGATTAATGAGTTAATGGGTTATCATGGGAGTGGGACTAGTGACTGTATAAGAAGAGAAAGAGAGACCTGAGCTAGCAGGCTCAGCCCCCTTGCCATGTCATGTCCTGCACTGTTTTGGGACTCTGCACAGAGTCCCCACTAGCAAGGTGGCCCCTTGACCTTGGACTTTTCAGTCTCCAGAACTGTAAGAAATAAATTCATTTCTTTATAAATCACCCTAGTTTCAGGTAGTCTGTTCTAAGCAACAGAAAATTGACAAGACCAGAAATCAGTACTGAGAGTGGGGTGTTAACGAAAACAAATACCTGAAAATGTAGAAGCAGCTTCGAAGCTGGATAATGAGTAGAGGCTACAAGAATGAAGCAGCAGTCTAGAAAAAGCCTAGGTTCTAGTGAGGGCTTAGAAGACAAGAAGAACAGGGAAAGTTTGGAACTCCTTAGAAATTGGTTAAATGGTCATGATCAGAATGCTGATGGAACTATGGACAGTAAAGGCCACTCCAACAAGATCTCAGATGGAACCGAGGAACAAGGTACTAGAAAGTGGAGTAAAGACCATCCTTGTTATAAATTGGCAAAGAACTTAGCTGAACTGTTCTACACCTGAGGGCTTTCTGGAAGGCTGAACTTGAGAGAGAGAAACTAGGGGTATCTGGCCAAAGAAATACTAAGCAGTAAAGCATTCAGGCTGCTGCATGGCTACTTTTAACCACTTACATCAAGCTGTGAGAGGGGGAAGAAAAAAACCTTAAAGGCGGAATTTATAATCATAAGAGAAGCAAAGTGGAAAAATTTGGAAAACTCTCAGCCTGGCCATGTAAAGAGTGAAAAGGTGTGTTTGGGAGAGGAAACCAAGGGTGTAGCCCAGCAACCTTTTGCTATGGAGATTAGTAAAGGAAAAAAGTATCATCATGAGAAGGAAAGACCTCGATGGCATTTCAGAGAACTTTGAGTTGTTCCTCTCATCATAGACCCAGAGGCAGGAGGACAAAATGGCTTCAGGAGACAGACCTGAGGCACCTTTCATGGGCTTGCTGCCCAGCGCTCTCTCTCAGGTCTTTGCTTCCCAAATTCTAGTACAGTCCTTCTTGGACATGCCAGCTGTGGCTCAAGAAGCTTTAGGTGTGAATTGACCTGCCACTCAAGAAGATAAGAACCATAAGCCTTAAGGGCATCCATATGGTGCCATTATAATTCTTCAGATTTGCAGAAAGCAAGAGCTGTGGAGGTTTGGGGGCCTCCATCTAAATGTCAAAGGATTTTTGCTGAAAGCCTGGGTCCAGGCAAAGACTTGTAACAAGGGCAGAGCACTACAGAGAGCTTCAGCTAGGGCAGTGTTAAGCAGAATTGTAGGGTCAGAACTGCTGCAGAAAGTTTCCAACAGAGCAATGCCTAGTGGAGCTGTGGGAACAGGGCCACTATCAGGATCCCAGAACTGTGGAGTCACCAACGGCATGCAACATCTGCTTGGGAAAGTCTCAGGCACCGGGCTCCAACCTGCATGGGCAGCTGTATGGGGTGCACCCAGCAAAGCCCTAGAGGTGGGGCTGTCTAAGGCCTTGTGGGCCCAACTCTTGCTCTAGTGTGTCCAAGAGGCAGCACATGGAGTCAAAAAAGATTATTCTCCAGCTTTAAGATGTAATGTCTGCCTGGCTAGGTTTTGGACTTTCTTGGGGCATGCTGCTTTTTTCTTTTTGTTTATTCCTTCCTTTTGGAATGGGAATGTCTGTTTTATGCTATACCACTATTGTATCTTGAAAGTGGATAATTTACTTTGATTTCACAGGAAGATGAAATTCTGGACTTTGGACTTCTTAGTTGGTGCTGAAACAAGTTAAGACTTTGGGGCTATCAGAATGAAATAAATGTATTTGTATGTGAGAAGAACATAAGTTTGGCAGGGCCAGGGACAGAATGCTATGGTCGAATGTTTGTACTCACTTGAAATTCATGTTGAAACAATCCCCAGTGTGGCAGGATTGAGAGGTAGTTAGTTCGTGAAGGCTCTTCCCTCATAAATAGATTAAATCGTTCATGGATTAATGGGTTATCATGGGAGTGGAACTATTAGCTTTATGACAAGAGGAAGAGAGTCCTGAGCTAGCATACTCAGCCCCTTTGCCATGTGATGCTTTGTGCTGTCTTCAGCCTGCAGAGTTCCCACCAGCAAGAAGGCGCTTACCAAATGTGGCCCCTCAACTTTGAACTTCCCAGCCTCTAGAACTACAATAAATAAATTTCATTTCTTTGTAAATTACCCTAGGTTCAGGTATTCTGTTATAAGCCACAGGAAACTGCCTAAGACACTATCTACTACCCAATAATATTTTATTGAAAGTTGCTACCAGCAGCACAAATATTCCTATCTACAATAAAACAAGAACCAAAGTCAAAGAGTTTATATATATTTAAATTTATATATATATATAAATTTTTAGTCCTAATTTTTCTAATTTTTATAGAATAAAACTTCTGTTGTTTGACAATACAGACAGACAGGAGCTGTTACACTCAATTTTTTTATAGAGAAATGCCAGTTTAAGACTAAAAAAGAAATTTAAAAAAAGCATTTTTCTAAGTACAACATGTATGGAGGGTCTGGAAACCCAAAGGATTTTGCAAAATTTCAACACATCTCTCTATAACCACATTCCATATATACAGAATGTGGAAGTAAAGCTCAACTAATTATATTTCAAAGCAAAGAATATTTTTTCTCCTTACAGAATGGGTACAACAGCTCTAGATGTTTAAATTCAAACATACAAAAAGTGGATCTTGACGAATTTCCTAAACAACATTTTTCTCATGCTTGAGTAACTCAGAAATGGCTGAAGAGATAGGTTCCACATCCCAGAAAAGAATTTGTTTCTGAATTGATAGGAAACATGAAATTTCAGCCTAAAGGGTTACAGGAGAGGGAGAAATTTCTAAGACATTGAAAATAGAGATGCCATATGAATATAAAGATGATAAATATAAAGAAGGAGCTTTGAGTGAGAGCCACTCTCTCAAAGAGTGAGGGATGTATACCCACTGCCATAAATCTAACAGTACTGGCCATAACTTCAAGGTTTCATGTATTTATCTGAGATGAATACACAGCTCAATCTCTTTGCCCTTATTCAGTTTTTTTCTTCAATTTATGCGATACATTTCAGAAAACACTGCACACATTACAAGATATCCTACCCCATATGTCTAAAATTACAAGTTAAAATAAATAACTGCAGTGCTTTGAAAACTTGATAATCTGGTACGTGTCCTACCAAATTTGATTTACCTAAACTAGACTACATGCAACCATCCTTTTGATGGGTTGCACTATGTCCAATGAGCGCCAAGTGAGGGCAGTACTGCTAACGCCTACGCAACACACCCGCATCAACCAGAGCTTTGCTTTTATCTTGGTGCAATTTTTGGAAAAATGAAAATCCACTTTTGGAAAAATGAAAATCCACTTTTCCATGTGAAAAAAAAGTTAAAAAAAAAATAAAAAGGCAGCCAGGTGTGGTGGCTCATGCCTGTAATCCCAGCACTTTGGGAGGCCGAGGCGGGCAAATCACTTGAAGTCAGGAGTTCGAGACCAGCCTGGCCAACTTGGTTAAACCCTGTCTCTACAAAAAAAATACAAAAATTAGCTGGGCATGGTGGCAAGTGCCTGTAGTCCCAGCTACTCGGGAGACTGAGGCAGGAGAATAGGAGAATCATTTGAACCAGGATAGTCGAG